TGTGTGTGTGTGTGTGTGTGTGTTTCTGAGATTGGGTGCACTATGTAGTTGAGGCAGGCCTTGAACTCACTATGTAGCCCAAACTAGCCTCAGACTCATGGCTTTTCTCCTACCTCAGCCTCCTGAGCGCTGAGTTTATAGGAATGCACCACCATACCCAGCTCCCAGCCCTTTTTAGAAAAAAAATTTTTTTTTAAATTTTGAGACAAGGTCTTGGTAAATTGTCCAGGTAGGACTAGAACTTGCAATCCCCCTGCCTCAGCCTCTCAAATGCTGGGAGACAAATGGACTATTTTTAACTTCTTGAATTCTGGAAACAGCCCTATTAGGGAGGTCCCATGGTTAACCCCAGTTTATAGATGAGGAAACTGAGGCACAGTTTCCTCACTCACCTAGGGGAACGTAAGATTCTAACCCAGGTCGTTCACCTTCAGGGCCCACTCTGATCACCACACACCTGCTCCATACTGCAACTCAGAGCAAAGAAACTTCTCCTCCCGGGCCTGAGTTCCCCCAGGAGGATTTCCTGCTCCTGTGGGTGACTGAACTGCTGCCCCTGCCCCAGCCTTTGCCCTTCCTGTCCTGCCTGCTGTCTTGGGGGTATTCAGGTGTGCCTTTACTTCCCTCTTCTTCCAAGTTGGGCCCACCTAGATGTAATGTGTGGGAGGCACTTGGCACAGAGCTGGCACAGAATCAGCCCTCAATATGTATTTTTAGCTAGGTGTGGTGGCACAGGCCTGTCAACCCGGCACTTGGGAGGCTGAGGCAGGAGGATCGAAACAAGTTCAAGTCCAGCCTGGGCCACATAGTGAGACTCTGTCACAAACCCACAAACATGTATGTTTTCAATTTTATTTATTTATTTTTGTGCTGGAAATTGAATCTGGGACCCAGGACCTGCTAAGCACATGCTACCCCCTAAGCCAAGCTCGGGCACTGCATGTTTGCGTTATTATTCCTGATGGTGTCGGGGTGCAGGCTGAGGGGTTAAGGCGGTTAGGCTGAGTTCAAATCCCTTCCTCACCTGTGCTTGCCGTATGAGGCTGAAGTCTCTCGGCCTCTCTGGCCCCACGTCTGCCCATCTCGGACAGTCACAGTGACGTGTTCCACAGGGGGACCGCGAGGGTGGGGACAGAAATCACTCCGGCAGTGCCTGCCACTGCTGCTCGGTTTACGATTGCGACGCTCTCTCTCCGATTCCGCGCCTCATCATCCCGGGTCCCCAGGCATGGCAACAGCTGGCGCGTGACAGCGGCCTCCTGGGGCTGTCCGTGCCCAGCGTAAGTCCCGTGCTTTCCCGGCTGCTGCCCCCGTGGCCCTGGGTACCCCGCTTGTGGCCTGGGCTCCGGCGCCGTCCCCTCCCCTCCCGTGCCTCCCGGCCCCAGGGTGACCGGAGCCCCTGCCTCTCGGGCGGGCTCTCTCCACCCTCCCGTTTTGAAGCGATCGGCTGCAATTTCTATAATAACATCACATTAGCCAGAAATTAATGTCCTCATTAAGACAGCAATTAGGCACATTAGCGCAGCAATAAAAGAGAAGCTTATGAAATAATTGCTGGTTCCAAAATGCCTTTAATTTAGTATTTTATATTGCGCCATGTTATTAATTTTTTTCCCTCGGCAGAAGATAATAAGAGAAACGTTTGAGTTGTGGGGAGGTTTGGAATTTTTAAAAATGTAGAGAGAAGAATCACGCCGATACCTACGGACGGGCACGCTGCCGCTGTGGGCATGGGGACAGAGGGGGACCGTGGGCCCAGCAGGAGACAGGCGGCCAGAGCAGGCTAGAGTTGAGGATCTTTGATCCTAGAGGCAGAAATGATGCCATTTTCTTTTCCCTAAACAACAAAAACCTTTCTGTTCATTTGGTTCCAGTAGGGCGCATCTGCTGAATTGGAATTTGATTGACTTGGTACTGGGGATTGAACCCAGTTTTTTGGTACTGTGTTCCACCCCCAGTCCTTTTTATTTTCAGATAGGTTCTCGCTAAGTTGCCTAGGCTGGGCTGGAACTTGTGATCCTCCTGCCTCAGCCTCCCAGAGTGCCGGGATGGCAAGCATGTGCCACCATGCCTGGCTCTGAATTCAGGTTCTCTTAGCAGATCTTTCTGGTACCCAAAGGCTCCTTCTCAGCAGAGGCCAGGAGAATGAGGATGTGCACAGAGGACTCACCAGGCCCCACAAGGATGCAATGCAGTTAGGGTCCTGTGGATGGTGGCATCCACGGAGCAGGTGGCAAGGGCTGTGCTGGCAGAGGGCTCTCTGCCCCCTGAGAACCTTGGTCAACTTGAGCCCACCAGACTGAGTGGCCTAGGGGAGGGGTTCCAGGTAGGTACTGGGGATTGAAGGTACAAAGGCCCTCAGGTGGGAACCAGTGGACGGGCTGAACGGAAGCAGGAAGAGAGGGCCAGGTGTGTGCAGCAGGACGTGAAGGGGCAGAGGAGCAGGGGGTGCCTAGCCAGCAAGGGGCGTGGCCGCCCAATCAGACCCCGATGCTGCCTGTCAACCAACCCCAAATCCAGGGCCTGAGGACCATCAGCAGGAATTATGCTGTGCAGTCTACACCACGCTCTCGGCAGCCTGTGGCTGGCAGCAGGGTGGTCCAGAATGGCCTCCACTCGGGATGACAGGGTGGGCTGGCGCAGTTGGTCGGGGGGAACACTGCCACGTGGAGCATGGAGCTGACTGTCTTCCGAGTGTTGCTCATCCCTCCTCTTGCCTGGGCACGGCCACATGACAAAGGCCAGCCTCAAGGACACGGTGGAAACACACTTCCCATCACTCTGCTGCAGTGCCATCGTCCGAAGCAGATCAGTAAACCTGCCCCATACCAGGGGGCGTGGAAATAGGCTTCACCCGCTGGTGGGAGGAGCTGCATGACAACTGCACAAAGCCTCTATATAGAGTGGCAGTAGACTGGACTCCTTTTAGCACTTTCACTCAGCTTGCAATTCCTCCAGGACTCTTGATCGTAGCTCCCTGGCCCTCCCTGGTACCCCAAGGTGTTCCCTGTCCTCACCCTAGTCCCTGGCACGCCTGCCATCCTGGACTCTAGGAGGGTGAGGCAGAAGAATCACAAGTTTTGCACCAGCCTGAACAGTTTAGTGACTTTTTTTTTTTTTTTGAGACAAGGTCTCACTATGCAGTTCAGGCTGGCCTTGAGCTCACTTTTAGCCCAGGCTGGTTTTGAACTCGCAATGATCCTCCTGCCTCAGCCTCCTGAGTGCTGAGATTACAGGCATGCACCACGACGCCCGGGCAGTTTAGTGATTTAGTAAGACCCTATCTAAAAATAAAGGAATAAAAAGGGGCTGGGTGTGTGGCACAAGCCTGTAATCCCAGCATTTAGGAGGCTGAGGCAAGAGGATCCTAGTAGAGGCCAGCCTGAGTGAGTTCAAGGCCAGCCTGAATTGCATAGTGGAAGGTTGCCTCAAAAAGACAAAAGGCGGGGGCGGGCTGGGGATGGAGCTCAGTGTGAATGGCCCGGGTTCAGTTCCCAGGACCACCCCCATCTCAAATACCAGAAAAGGCTCACTTCCTCCTCCAGGTTGGGGGTGTGGCCAAGCCTGAAATTTTACATTGGAATAACTGGCTCTCCTAAGAGCAAACTGGGAGTTTATGTCAGTGAAGGGAGGGCAGAGGTGACTGTGTAGCGCACCCTGAGCAAGGGAGAAATGGAAATTCACAGCTTGGCCTGATCCCGCCCAGCCGCTGGCAGCGCAGTGTCCAGCCAGCCCATCCATACTGGCCTGCCTCGATTAGGGGACCAGAAAGGAAAAAGAAGAGAAAAAGAAGTGGAAGAAGAGTCCCCTGAGAGCCGGAACACCATTTAGCCCTGGCCTTAGGGGCCAGCAGAAGGACTTACCCCAAACTCATGACTGACCCAGAAACTCAGACGGGCAGCCTGGCCCAGGGCAGGACCAGACCCGTGGAGGATCCCAGGAGGTGGGGAAAGAGGAGGGAGTGGGAGAGAAGGAGGGGTGGAGAAGGGGAGGAAGGTCGGTTTCCCCATCCCCGCCCCCCTCGCTGTATGGGGAAATAAAGTACAGCCGGGTTCCTGGTTGCCATGACGACTGCCTCAAAGACTGGGGAGGGGAGAAGCGGAGGGGGTGGTGGTGAAGAACCGCTCTTCGCAAGGAGCCGGCCGAGCTCAGAACCCTAGCCATCCGCAGCGAAGAGGGCAGCACCCCCAGTTTTGGGGTCCGGGCTGCCAGCCTCAGCCCCCACTTCCGAGGCTCTCTCCCCAAAGCCTTTGGTACCCGGTGTCCCTTGGGGTGGGGACCTGAAACCCCGTGACTCCCAGGACAGACTCAAGACAGGGCAGCCTGATGCCCCAGCCGGTTCCCTGACCCCCCTCGACTGGGGCAGTTAAGGGGGCGCCCATGGACGTGGAAGGTGGAGGAGGGGACACGTGCCCAGGCTGCCATCAAGGCCTCTGAACCCTGGGACGCGTAGGGGAGGCTGAGGGCTGCTTCCTTTTTTTTTTTTTTTTAATCTGTTAATAAAACGCAAGTGAATCAAATCCGCTCCGAGGGAAGGGGGTGGCCAGGCAGGGCCTGATGTTTGCAGAAGTTGGAAA